AAAGTGGAATTTCTTCAAATTTGTGGATGGGGGGAAGGGCATTTTGCAGTTCATATTTAGACTTCCTCTAAAAGTCTCTTATTCAACTCAGCTAGTCTGAGTCAAGATAGAACTGAAGTTTCAGGTTACAGTACTTGGTTTTAAACACTAACCTATCCACCTCTCAAAATGCTTGGAAGTATTAGAAATCAAACACCATCATATGGTCTGAAAGTACAGATGGGTGAGAAATTAAAAGTGGGGGTGCTTCACTCAGTTTCATAAAGCAGAATCAAGCTAACTGAAGCCTCTCTGAATCCAATTTATTCTGCCCCCAGTTTTCTTTGTCTTCTGCTGCTTCCTATACTTCCTTCTTCTTCTAAGAGCTAAAGGAAGCTTTAGTGCAATCAGGTAGTTAAGGCAGAATATTTTTTTTAATAGGAAAGGATTTGGAAGACTTTCCTAGGGTGTAAATAACCTTTTGAACATTTTATCTGACCAAGCTATCAATAAGGCTATCATGTCTAGCTGAAAAAGGACACACTTGGCAATAATTTTCAGCCTAGGAGAAGCCAAGTCAGTTTCTCTCATCTATCATGCAAACATTTTTTTTGTGGGTAAGCTATGAGCAATGAGGCCACCCACTGTGCTTTTCAACCACTAGAATCAAATCTTTGAGGGGGAAAAAATCCTTAAAAGCATCAGTAACACCTGAAATGCACAGTTGCATTCAGTAGTAATAGTTTTCAAAGTGAACAGCTGGATGTTTGTCCAGCCCTGCTTGGAAAGAAAACAGAATCGGCACATGGATGGAATTTGCTTTAATATCAGATGTTGGGAATACGCAGCAGGATATGGATACTTCATACTAATACTTAGAAGCAGAAGATTCTGTGCCTTTTTGTAGCTTCTGATATTTCTGTAAAAATGATACAATTCACATATCTTTTTTTCATGGAATAAGTATAGTGACATGCTACTTTATTTGCTAAATTTTTGGTTGACATGTAAACAGTATCTGAGGGGCTGCCACAAGGCAGAGGGGGCAAGGTTGTTTACCAAAGCACCAGAGGGAAGGACGAGAAACAATGGTTGGAAACTGATCAAAGAGAGAAGCAACCTGGAATTAAGGAGAAACTTCCTGACAGTGAGGACAATCAACCAGTGGAACAGCTTGCCTCCAGAAATCGTGGGCGCTCCGTCACTGGACATTTTTAAGAAGAGACTAGACATTCACCTGTCTGAGATGATATTGGTTCTCCTGCTTGAGTGGGAGGCTGGACTAGAAGACCTCCAAGGTTCCTTCCAGCTCTATTCTATTCTAAATAGAAGTATTTGTCTACAGGACTGATTACTGTAAATTCACAAGTGTGTATGATTCCTATGGATTCACAATTCGTTGAATTACTGTAGATTTTTTTTTGTATACATTTTATTAATTTTTATAGGATTAGGAATAAGGTGGGGTCTGGGTTGGGGTTGGGATTTGGGTTAGGGTTAGGATTAGGGTTGGGGTTGAGATTTTTCCAAATAACATTCTCAATATTTAGCAAACAGCATAATGTCTGGGTTCATGTGTTTAACAAACAATAATAGATAATAGTTAATTATCATAAACAATATGTTAATTAATCACTCAATAGTCTTCTTCTTGTTAATATATATTCAAAGTTACATATCACATTCCTTTCTCTCTAACTCGTTTTTCTAGCCATTGATAGAAATTATCCCATGTTCTAAAATACACTGAGTCTTCTTTCTCTTTTATCTTTAAAATCAATCTATCCATTTCTGCACACTCTAAAATTTTGTTAATTAGTACTTCTTCAGCTGGTAAATTTTCATTTTTCCAATGTTGGGCAAATACAATTCCTGCTGCCATTAGTACGTGTAGTATTAAATATATGCAATCTTTCTCATAATTTGCTCCTATTATTTCTAACAAAAATAATTCTGGCTTAAAGTCTATTTGTTTTTTAGTCATTTTGTCCAACCATAAATGTATTTTAACCCCAAATCTTTTTGCTTTAGAGCATGTCCACCAGATATGATAATAAGTACCTGGTCTTTGTTTGCATTTCCAACAGTTGTTTGAAGTATTTTTAAACATTTTTGCTAATCTCATTGGTGTCATATGCCATCTCTAAAACATTTATATAAGTTTTCTTTATATGCCACTGCTTTAGTTAATTTAACATTTCTTTCCCATAACTTTTGCCAGTCTTCTAATTCTATATTATATCCAAAGTTCTTTGTCCACGTTATCATTGTTTCTTTTACTTGTTCTTCCATCATCTTTAAGTTTAACAGAAATCTATAGCATTTCTTAATCAACTTTTTATCTGTTTTTAACAGTATCTGATCAAATTCTGTCCGTTCTTTATAAAATCCCATTGTTTTTGCATCTTTTTCATATCTTGTTTGAATTTGCAGATATGGCCACCATGCTAGATCAATACCTTGTTCTTGTAAATCTTGTCTGTCTTTCAATTTTTCTTCATTGTCCAAAATATCTTTGAATGACTTTAGTTTTTGATGGGGTTATCTCACAGAAATAAACCAGACAAATTTATTCCAACTGTGCTGTAAGATTAAATAGGAAAAAAGCTTAATATTACACAGAAAGTTCTTATTCAAGTCACAGCAACATAACATAACATAACGTTTAACTGGAAAGTAGTTCAGTCATGAAATCTCATGTTTTTGTACTGTATTTTACATCTTTAGTCCACAAGTGTCAAATCTAGCTTTACAGAGGGTCTGTTTGTAAGGATAATAAGCTTTGTAGCCACCCTTTTGGTCTTTTGGATGCTTTACAAAAATATATCGGACGAGCCTCATCATTTCAACAGATCGCAGAGGAGTTCCCTTGTGACTTACAACCTAGCAAGTGTGCTAGGAATTGTATTTTGTCTTTTTTAAAAAAATGTTCTTTGCCCTTTCTCCTTGCAGTCAACCTGGTGGATGAAATAGTGGATGTGTGTATGATTATAGGCATGCTTTTTCCAAAGATCAACATTTGTACACACTTTGGTCACCTTTTATACATGGTGCTATTGACATTAACCAGAAAAGCCACTCTTGACAGCACCATACTTTAGCACCACCTAAAGAGTTGCTCTGCTGCACTTGCAGAGTTTCTTTAAAGCAATGTCTGGGGTGGGGGGAGGGAATCACAAGCCTAATTGTTTTCCATCAAGAGGAATTGTCTTTGAAGTAAACTGTCCTGTAAAATAAGAACATTCTCTTGAAGGCTGAAAATGACACTGTAATTTTGAAAGGAGAATATAATGAACAATTTTCTTTGCTTTTACAACAATATAGATTCTCCCTGCAGGATATGTACTCGGATGAACATGTGCACGTTCTTTTGCTGGTCTGTCATTGTCCTTAAACCTAGAGAAGCAAAATGTGGTTGAGGTTAAAAGATGCATTCTCAAACTTGACAAGCTGTTTAGATTCAGCTGCCCTAGAGAATTAAACTACTCCTGCCTTAGATATCTTGTCTATAGTTTCTGTAGAACAGGGGTCTCCAAACTTGGCAACTTTAAGACTTGTGGACATCAACTCCCAGAATTCCCCAACCACTTATGAACTTCAACTCTCAGAATTCCCCAACCACTTATGGACTTCATCTTCCAGAATTCCTCAGCCAGCATGGAATTCTAGGAGTTGAAGTCTATAAGTCTTAAATTTGTCAAGTTTGGAGTCTCCTGCTGTAGAAAATCCATCATTTTTCTATGTCCTGTGGTTTTATCTTCTTATCTTGCCCACTGACTAGTTCTCTTTACCACTGACTCAGTGGATTTCAGTCTGAAAGTCCTACAGAACCTTTTCTAATAATGCAGAGAATTTACTGATTCAAGTTATGAGGGACCGCAAGAATTGTCCCCTTAGTCTGTTCCACAGTTCAAAGAAGGATATTTATTTAAAAGATTTGTATGGCCATCTGTCTTACAGCATAAATATAGGAAGCTCACAACAAAAATAAAATAACAAGCAGTAAAAAAAACCCCATGAAAACAAAGACAAAACCCCTGGTGCCATAGCAATTTTCCTAGGATGCCCTCAACACTTTCTACATACTTCTATGTCAGTCTTCTCCAACACCTCTGGAAGATCTAGCTCTTTATTGCCTTCTGGATGACTAAAAAGTTGGGGACCTGTGAAATTGCCAGGGGAAGAGTTTACTTCAGGAGAAAGATGAAAGTAGAAAGGGAAAACATATTTACATTATTCTTTCATTGTGTTTACACAACAAGCTTAAGTGCATATTTACAACATGGGTACTCCAATTAGTTTAAACATTCATTGTGGGGCAGAATTCTTGGTGCTATTTCCTGTTACATTTAATGCTTCTGTGGTTTAACATACTGTGTGAGCCCACTGTATGTTTGCTTTGATTAATTTATGATTTAAGATATGAGAATCCAAAATGGCTTAATTCACTTAACCATTTCAATGAGAATTTTAACAATATTAAGCTGAAGGCTGGTTAATTAAGTAATGCTAGCTTATGTAATATCAGTGTTACAAAAGTGAGTTCTGAATAGGTTCTCTTCCACTTCTGCCACATCCATTCACAATCAATATATGACCTTTTCTCCAGTAAGTGCCAATATCATTATTTTGCTCACAAAATAATTAAGAAAAGTCAGCATGGATGCCTAACCCTGACATATTCTCAGATGCCTGAAATTACATACATATAATGAGTGAATGCATGTGAAATGAAATGAAACTGATAGGTTTTATCCGCCTTTAAAAATAGACACATGAACCATCATCATTGATCATGGGTCTGCAATAAATTATTCTTCCTTATTTAATCAGATAGAATATGTATCTTATTTTCACAAATATTGCTATTAAAATGTATTACTTAACCCACAAAATTCCGGATTATTTCACTATGTTCCCTTGAAGAGAGTAGATATTTAATGACTGTGGGCATTACATTACACACTGCAAATTCTTGTTCATTTGCCAATTCTGACTACCTGAATTTATCTGCTTTTTAGTTAGAAGAACTACGAAATGCACTGGATAAGACCAGACAAGAACTAGATGCCACTAAAGCTCGCCTTGCCTCAACACAGCAGTCTCTGGGTGAGAAAGAAGCACATCTGGCCAATTTAAGACTAGAACGGAGAAAACAGTTAGAGGAGATCCTGGAAATGAAGTAAGTGCATTTATGGCTCTTGATTTTGATAGTTTTTTTGTTTTGTTTTGTTTTTCATTTGTGTTTGCAACATTTTCAGCTCTTTACTTCATAGACAGAAGATTTCTTTACCAAAATGAAAATGAAATAAGCTGAATGACAGTAAGTAATAATATTGAGCTACAGAAGTTGGACCAGAATATTCTGTTATTTGCAGATGGCAATAGCAGGAAACACTTCTTGATGATGAGATTGATATGCATGTATAAGCGGACTTGAAGTAAGCAAGCCGCCAAGGAGTTTTTAAAGCACAATGGGGTACAATAAATAAACTAGGTTCATTTTAGTGCTAAAGTGGTAAATATATTTTACCACTAAAGGAAGTCATGCATTCATTGGGATACATTGATCTGTAGTAAAATTCTATGCCATGATACAACATTATTTACTTGACACATTTTATCTGAAATTACAAAGGATGGAAAATCACTATTTATAATTCCAATACAGTTTTTTTTCTTTGTTGAATACCCACCCAACTCTCTTCCCACACAAGCATTTGCTCACTGATGTATACACTATATTAGTGATCTTCTGTTGAATTTTAGTCCCACGTGTAAATGTCTTGCTTCCTTACTGCCATCAACCTGTTCTTACTTAAGCACAAATAAATGGTTCTGTGAAGATGATACATTATTAGCTTGAGAAACAATGATAAACAAAGTTGAAACAGAAATCTTGACATTTCTCCAGCACTGGAGATGGAGGATCCACAGAATGGGTTGAGACTGTATTCCTGCCCAATCAGATCAAGTCAGCCAAAGTTGTCACGCCCCGTCCTGGTCTCCAGATCCCAGTCTTGACTTGATCTTGCCCAGGACAGAACGTACAACTCTGGCTCTTAGGTACAGTCTAGACTATTTGTGGATCTTCCATCTCAACTTCTATTATTCCATTTTCTGATAATTAATTCGGACTTTCTTTCAAATTTAGCCTTATCTTCAGCCACCTTTTTCCCAGCTCTGTAGTGGGGGGAGAATTAAAGATCATAGGAAGTTAGAAGGGGGCCCCTTCTCTCTTCCCTCCCCCCAGGAGCTTTAACAATTTAAGACAAGGCGGCTGAGTTCCCGTTGTCTAACGGCCGTTAGACCCCAGGGAACACTCCGGAGCTCGCGGCTGCGGCTCCAGCGCCCGGCAGGGCCTAAAAGGGAACTGCTACGAGAATCCATCAATTCTGTAGCAGGGGAAGCCCCACCGAATTCGGCATCTCTCGGCTTTCCGATAACCGAGAGATTCCTCCCAGGCACGCGCACGCTTCAACGGACTTCCGATCAGCGTTTTCGAGGCTGATCGGAGATTTGGGGCCGTGTTGCAAGCTCCGTAAGAGGCGCACAGCGTGCTATTCTGCAGGGGGCCTGTTTCCCCTCAACACTCCAACCGACCGTTGTTCGCGCGCGCAGCCGCCATTTTAAAACCGCGCGATCGCAAAGCGATCGGTTTTTTTGAGTTCAGGGGGCAGTTTTGGAGGTGGAATTCCCTCCCTCTTGGTGGGATCCGAGCTCCAAGCTAATAACAGTTCCATCGCCCACGTTTGAGCTCCGCGGCGAGCCGATTGTCAGTTACTCGGGCGCGGCCACCATTTTGACCATGCGGCCGCAAAGCTGGGCCTCCTCGGAACTTAGCAAATTCAGCCGCTATTGCGCGCGGTCGCCATCTGACCACGCTGCACCAGCAGTTTGTTGCTGGAATTGCCAACCTCATGAAAGAGGACTCTCCTCGGCGGGGCCTTGTAGTCCCCCGGGGGGCGCGTCCAGTAACGATTTGGGGCCTCTTCTCTCAGTCAGGCCGCCATTTTAGGCTCTGGCCACCATTTTAAGGTCGAGTGAAAAATTCCCTCACATAGGCCTGGGAGTTCAGATCTGGCCTCAACAGTAATAGATTCCTAATTTACATTTACAATACCAGTGATCTGGCTTACATCATACTATTTGGGCTTTCTCCTTCTCAGTCTTGGTGTCTCCTGCTGTAATTTAGGCCTCATTGTCGTTTGGGCTCGGAGGAGTACCTTGCTGTGCTCCTGTTTTTTGGGCCTCAGGATACCAGGTGGTCCCACAGAGCACCTTCTATTATCCTCTTTGAGCAGAGCGGATTCCAGGCATACCCGGTTGTGTGTCTGTCCTGTCCGCATAATACTGTCAGCTGCTCTTACAGTGTGTCCGGGTTCCAGACGTACCCGATAGTGCGCCTGTCCTATCCATTGACTAATTTTCTCTTGATACCGGGGGGTCCCCACGAGTCCCTGTGTTATCGGAGAATGGAGGCTACTGACCCTCCCCCTAGAGGCATTGCTCCCTCTTCACCGGTCCCGACAACTTCGGCCCAACCTCCTATGGAGGGATCTGACAAGACCTCGTCCAAAATTAAGGTCAGGTCCACTAGCAAAACCTCCAAGAGAGCAGAGAAGCAGGCTAACAGGAGACACCAAGCCTTAGAAAAAGAATTCTCTAGGGCGCAAAAAATTGCTAGGATGGATAATCCCCAAACTGAGGGTCTGTCTTATGTCCACATGCCCCAACCATCAGCTACACGTACGCACCATGGGACTCCGGAAGCTACTTTCACCCCCACAGCAGCTGGGCTTCGACCAGTTGAGCCCCCTTCCTTCCCTTCAGAGGATCGACTGGCCCTATTAATTGCGCAGGCGGTTGACCGCGCACTTGACGCAAGGGCCGGAGCTCCTAGACCGATAAGTAGTGATCCTCTGCCCATGATTGATCAAGGGCCTGAGACTCAGTATGCACCCTCCTCACCTTCTGGATCCTCATATTCTGAGGGATTGTCACTTCAGGTCCAGGGCAACGAGCAGGAGTTCCCTATGTCTGATGAGGAGGAATCCTCTACTCAGGCCCCTTCATTTAGTGGTATGTTTAACCCTTCCTCCTTTGTGACCTTACTCCTCAAGGTCTCATCCACAGCACAACCCGGGGCTGAACCTTCCTCGTCAACTGCCATGGTTTCCCCTGACTCAGAATTCGATCCTAACTTTACTGAGCCAGTGGCAACACAACACCGGATTCCTTGTCCCCCCATATTTCTGACCGCTGTCCGGAAACAATGGGCGTCTCCGGCCTCCCTTCCTCTCCCAAGTGCCACGGACAAAAAGCTTTACAACGTGGCCAAAGACCTGGAGGAGGCTCTAGAGGTGCCTGCTGTGGATGAACCTTTTGGACCCTTAGTTTCCCCTACCGCTATAGCTGGGGATGTTTCTGATGCCCTCAAGGTGGATGACCATAAGTGTGAGCTAGCCTTTCGTAAGACTCACCAGGCGACTGCTTGGGCAATTAGAGCGGCCACCTCGGCATCCTTTTTTAACAGGGCTGCCCACCGCTGGCTTAAACAGCTCCAAGCCCGTACCCCGGAAGATGACATTTGGTCACAACAGGAACTTAGCAAGATGGTGGCGGCCCTGGAGTACGCATCAGATGCAACTCTCCAGGCCTCCAAGTTTGCCTCCAAGGCCATGGCATCCAGCATCTCGAGACGCTGCATGCTTTGGCTCAAACACTGGCACGCGGATGCCAAGTCCAAGTGGCGTCTGGCGGCGGCTCCGTACCAAGGAGGCAAACTGTTTGGTGAGGCTTTGAACCCCTACCTCACCGAGAATAAGGATAAGCATAAGGTCCTTAGCCATATTCTCAAGAAACCAGAGAAGCGTCAGAATTATTTTTCCCATCGGCAGTCCTTTCGGGCCGGGAACAGGTATAATTACTCACAGCCTTTCCGCCCCTTTCCGGCCAGACAGGACAGACAGGACAAGCAGTACGACCGGCAGGCAACCAAACCCAGACAACAGTTTCAGGGTAAGCGGCCCTTTTGAGGGACCGGCCGGCCATTCCGCCGCTCCAGGTGACTCCCTGACGGTCCCTCCCATAGGGGGCAGACTGTCTCGGTTCGCCCACCAATGGGAGGCTACCACCACGGACGCATGAGTCCTCAAAACAATAAATTCCGGCCTTTACCTAGAGTTCACCTCCGACCCCCCGACCAGATTCATTTCTTGTCCATACCCTCGAAATCAGGCCAAGAGGGCACTGATGGGCGAAGCCATCCAGCATCTGCTGGACATACGAGCCATAGAAACCGTTCTGGAGGACCAGATAGGTCAGGGATTTTACTCCATACTCTTTGTCGTGCCAAAAGCATCAGGGGGATGGATGGCCATTTTGGACCTAAAGGCCTTGAATTATCATCTTGTATATCGCAAATTCAAGATGCAAACGCTCAGATCCATCTTAGGAAGCGTAAGAAGGGGGGACTTCCTGACGTCTATCGACCTCACAGAAGCATACCTCCATGTCCCCATCTCTCTCGCCCACCGGAGGTTCCTACGGTTCGTATACAAGGGCCATCACTATCAATACAAGGCCCTTCCCTTCAGTCTTTCATCGGCTCCCAGGGTGTTTACCAAGATCCTGGCGGTCCTAGCAGCTCACTTAAGGATGGTACCTGTCAGGGTCCAGTGTTATCTGGACGACATCCTGATCCAATCGTCTTCCATCCACTCCGCCAGGACAGATCTCGAACGGGTGGTAAGGCTGCTCCAGGACCACGGGTTCTCGGTAAATTTCCCCAAGAGTCACTTGGTCCCCACTACAAGGCTACTACATCTAGGGGCCATTATAGACACGAAGGAGCGCAGGGACAACTTAAGAAAGTCCATCCTCCAGATTCGCAGGAGAAGGACAGCATCTGTCATCAGCTTATCCAAACTACTAGGTCAAATGATCTCAACTATTGCAATTGTCCCGTGGTCCAGGCTTCACTCCAGGGAACTGCAGTGGTTTCTGCTTCCCTTTTTTTATTATTATTATTTATTATTATTTTAATTTGTATACCGCCCTTCTCCCATAGGACTCAGGG